TCTGCTCGCATCACGTAATAACACGACATGTGCCATGTGCTTGGCACGAGCTGTCGAAATAATGCTTCGGACACAGAGCACATCCCCTATGGTCACACAAGGACCTTATTAAAAATCAGTATGGGGAACACTTTGCAAAAGATATACACAGTTGGGAAACAAGCAAAAATCATGGGAGACCCACCCCTAAAAGCGAATATGCTAAAACCGCTTTCCAAACTAGGTCTCACATTTCTGGTCATCTCGGAGTGAGCCCGGCGACACAAGCAGCAGAAGTCTCGCGAAGTCGAGGTCCGGATGGGAGATCTCCACTACCTTCCCCGCCTCCAAACCAGGGATAGAGGCCGGGTGCAAAATCAGCTCCTCTTTGGAATCTGAAACGGAACAATGTTTTGGCACTTTAAATAATTATCCGATATCCACTGTTACGTTTTTACACAAGTAACAATACAAGAAAGCATAACATCTATCTTACAAATGGCAAATGTTTCGGTGGCATACATCCAAAACGTCATGTCGTTGACAATGACTGATCATTTCTAAACATAGTCTAAACTTAGTTTAGAAATGATCCTATGCTCTCAAAATTATCACCGAAGATGTCACGATTGTTTTGTATGCTTGAGCGGAGTCACCGCAAAATTTTTGGTCAACGAGCAATCCAACCAGACTTGTAAACGATTCAAAAAATTCAATCAATTCAATCACGACTCACTTGATGAAATGACCGATTCAATCATAACTCAATCAAACAGTCTGATTTTCCAAGCGATTCAATCACGACTCATGGACCTTGTGATTCAACTCAATCACGACTCATCCCATTATGAGTGATTCAGGGAATGACTCAACTCATGATTTAACTCAACGCGATTCAATCAAGATGTTATATAAAATATATACATATGTGATATCAATTTAAGACATTTTTGGAAACTGATACCAACCAAATACACTAGGAAAATACCAAAAAACATAGAAAAGTACTAAATCTATGCTTGCTCACAAATGTCCTGATGAAACAGGGTATTGAAAATATAAAGATTAACATGGTATTTAAAACATGTGTGTTGAGCAATGTGCGCCTGCTTCCTGCTACTATTAACTTGATTACTATACTGATTTTAGGGCACTGGAAAGACACTTTACATTCATTTTTTCATCTTCATGCATTAACATTTATGTATAATTTTGTGTTTACAGTTTGATTAAAAACTTAAAACAAAATTTTTATGTTTTATCAATACTGATAGCAGTGCGCATTTATAATACTGACAAAATACCTAAAATTTTTGCAGTGCATTGTGTGTGACTATGATGCAAATGCCACATATATTTCTACATTATATAGTACTAAATATGGTCATAACTTCAATTTCCAGCACATGTTGATTGAATCATTTTATTAATTCAATCAACTTGAATCGATGAGTTGCCGATTCAATCACTAGCAGTTGCCATGTGTGACCGATTCAATCAGGATTCATATGGTGACAAGAGGTGATTCAACCGACTCAATCACAGTGAGTCGGCATTTTCAAGCGATTCATGAGAATCGATTCAATCAGAATTGAATCGCTTACAAGTCTGAATCCAACTCGATTTTACTCGATGAACTACAGAGACATGCTTAGCGAAACTTCCAGAATCATTGCGAATGGCGCGAAAAATAGCCCTAAAGACAGCAACAGCGTAGCCGCACGCCAATACCTTCAGATCAAAACATGATCAAGAATTCAACTCCCAGCCAGGCTACGGCGGCGCCGAAAGACCCCTATTCCCGTTTACTTTCCACTATAAAGGTAAGTACGCCGGTTGATGAGGCTGTCTCACCTCCCCGAACCTGCTGCAGCTTCTGGTGTACGACCAGCTTCAACTGAACCTCCGCAGTCATCGTAGTCTCTGGTTGATCTGAAATGAAAATGGTTATAAGTTCGATCTCAGGTATCACGTCCACATCGAGCATTACAAAATATAAATGCAAATCTAAAAATATAAATGCAACGCTCATAGAGTCAACAAAATGATCGAGCTTACTCCGTCGCCGTCGCCGTCTCCTTCTCCGAAAAAAAAAACGAACATTTACCTGGCTTTGCCACACTAAGCCAACTTATGTAAGTCAGTATGGTGCAAGAGTGGAACCTTACACATCTCCACAATATGACTCGAAAGTGAATGCACGACCTTCGAGAACATGTTCTATAGAGCGTTCAAGGCACAGAAAACCGGATGCCACACTAGAGGTGCTGGAACAAAATTTATATCGATTGCGTACGGGACACAGTTCGTATATCGTTGATGGGTCATCCTGACCGTAGATCCTGTCAGTTGGCTTGTGCCACTGAGGTTTGGATAATGCAAGATGATCTGCCTGCATTTGGCCGGATATCTGTCCGCATCACCACCCTTCACGTTAGACCACACGGTACCTCGCCCGGTTTGCGCCATCTCTCGCGTGAGCGAGGCCATAGCCCATACACCTTTTGGGCCTCGTAAGTCCCCAGAGCACCACACAAGCCCCCTTGCACCAGCCCGAACTATGCACCGATCGAAATGCCTCCTAGCGGGCATAACCCACATCACCCAAGTGACCGAGCCAGACTGGCCAAAAGTTTGGCCTTCCGAGTCCGATTCGCGGAAAAAGGACGTAATTATGATGAAAGTACGGGCGTTGATGTTCGCACATAAAAGAACGTGGGCGATAAAGAACGTAATGGCAAACGAACGTATCGCTGAAACCCCAGCTAACCTATGCTGGGAGTTCAGGGGAGAGGGAGGGAGGCAAGACTGGGTGGCACTGTGCAACCCATTCAGTACAATCACTTTCCAGCAAAGACCTATGTTATCTGAAGCATTAAGTTTGTTAGCAGCACAATTTACTTCATGAGGGACTCATAAGGCACAAAACAAAATATTGAGGACTTGATATAACTAAGAACACAAGCCCCCTCAATTTCATTTCAGATGGAATTATCTGTACATAAACCTGTCAGTTTTGAGTCAACATAAGTAATGTAACTTTATCTCATCTTTTGATGATTTACATATTTTAATCTGTACCAGCTATACCTACCATTTATCTGTCATCAGTAATTTCATGAGCCTGAAAAGCAGGATATGCAATCTTCTTTTTGCACTTTTGACCTCACCTGATTCTTATTCAGCACTGTAGCTCTCAACTCTCTTCTTCTCACATCATTCTATTGATGCTACCAGCTTCAAATTCTGAAATAAAAATCAAGCATGGCTTAGACTTTATGGTCATCTTTGTAATTCGAAATGATTTTTTTTTTCAATCAAAAGGTTAAAATATCATCAAAATTAGATGATATACAGACTAATAACTTGATAAGGTTCACAATTCTTATAAAGGTATCATGTAACATTCTGCCTGTTGGCAAGCTGTGCTCCCCCAGGAACAATTCATGCTAGAGGGTAACCTTAGAATAGAACCAGCTCTCATCTAATTAGGTGCCAAGAACTTTTTTAGGAGCATGCTCCTGCAGAGCCCAGCCACCTTTCAGGATATATTTTGATCATCTGTCAGCATAAATATCAATGAAACAACAAGGCAAGAATGGGATCTGTGCCAGCACCTGTAATAATTTCCAGATTGAGCTCAGCTATGGCTGCAGAGGGCAAGGCTGCACAGGATATGAGTCTGTGAGATTGATGTCTTTTAACTTTATTTTATAAATTTAGCTTGAACGTCTGAATGGATGGGTTGACAGCCGTAGCCAACTCTAAGCAAAGCTTGTGGTACTCTCATAGCAGACGTCGCCCTTGCTGCATAATCTAACCTAACCTACCTACAACCTACAACCCACCAGCCTACAACCTACCAGCCAACCTACCAACCTAAAACCTACCAACCTACAACCTACCAACCAACCAACCTACAACCTACCAACCTACAGCCTACCAACTAGATACCAATTTAGATACCAAAGTTTAATGAAACATTCAAACCAGGGCCCTGATCGGCGGCCGGCTAGTACTCTTGCCGGCGCTCACATACATGCTGGTTGCCCCGGCAACGGGCTATTGACCAATGAGAAGCGAGGAAAGTGCAACGTCACTGCGATTTTTCATATACCTGTGCCCCCCTGTAGCGCGCTTCTCATTGGTCAATAGCCCGTTGCCGGGGCAATGTGCACGTATGTGTGCGCGGGCTAGCGCGCTAGCCGGCCGCCGAACAGCGCTCCGGACACAGCCTGTCCCACTCAACTAACGTCAACTCTGTGGCTGCTCCAACCAGCCGCAGACCATCCCCTTCAGGAGGATCAAATGTCCAGCGCCGGAGCGACTCAAACCCGGGCTCTCACCACCAGGAGTCCAACACTCTACCCACTTGAACTGAGCTACAAGACAGGCAAAATTTATGATGATTCTACCTTTACTCAGAGTCAGAGTCAGAGTACATGTAAGCAGCATACCTATCTCAAGAGCTGGCGAATCTAGCGACTTTTCCCAAACGGGTGGCAGCATGTCAGACACCTGCTATAAGAATACCAAGAATACCTTGATATTGACAATTGACATAAATGATGCTACTCGCGCCACCCCTTTCAAAATCAGGCCAAGGTACTAGCAATAGATTGAAATGTAAGCAAAATTGGTTTGCTAGGTTTGCTGACGTTTTCATGGAAACAGGCACAGGCCCCACAGGCCCAAGCACAGGCCCAAGAAAGGCCCAAGTGGTGGCAGCACGGTATATAGAGAACTGGTGGCAGGTAGAATCACATGCTGTGCACGGTATACAGAGAAATGCCGTGAAAGATTTCTGAAAAGATTTTTCGTGAAAGATACTTTATGCCGTTTACAGCATCTACGTTCACTGAGATGACTTATTTTACTAGAAAGTGAAGGGATATTGGGGCGTATAAATGTTTTCATTTTAATATGGCAGCAAAATCCAGTCAAAGCTGAAACTTACCTTAGTTTCACTGCGATGCTTGTTTCCATAAAATTTTCTTCTTCTTGTTGGTTCTCTTGCTTTTGTCGCTGTAGTTATTACTCTAGTCACGTGATACACGGCTAGAACGTCAAATTTGACCATGTTTTGACATAAATTTTGGATGTTATGGTATTGAATACAATAAATAAAATAATATTAGCATATTTTGAAAATCAAATATCATTAAATTTGTTTTTGCCCCGTTAAAAAACTTCCATTTTATCATGCCCTTACCAAAAGCTAAACCACAAAGAGCTCGAAGGTTACCCTTTACCAGCCAGCATCACGCGAGAGGAGCTGTTTAGGATCTCTGAATTTTGCTGGGCGCCGGCTGACAGTTGGGTGGCCAGGAAAAATCGGCAGGTGATTAATCAGTCAATAGATTAATTCCCTAAGCCTTTGAAAGGTGAAATTCTGTTCAACTTCATTATTTTCTGGTGAAATGATACCACTGTTGGAGGCTGAACATGGATTTTCAAAAGCATTAATTTTGTGATATAGGTATTGATGTGCTGATCAAAAATTGAATCATTGGGTCATAACATTATGCTCACTGAATTTCTCATCACACGGAGCAACATCAAACATGCAATAGTTAGGTATGCTTAGGCTGGAGGGAGCCAGAGTGTTGTAGGCCTCCTTGTAACTGCAACATGTCGCAAGTTGTGTAGTAAGTTGTTTTTGAAGCGATCATCTGGTAAGAAGTGTTACTTAAGTTGTAAAGTCTGTTGCAAGTTGCCTGATTTGCAACAACCTACAAATTTGATAGCAGTCTAAAGTTAAGTTGTGTCGCAAGCTGACCCTGCATTGAGGAAGAGGTCACAGGTCACAGGTCATTTGGTACATGGTCACTAAATTCACATGGTAGGTGTAAAATTGTTCAACCTTGAGATCTTGAAATTTTGGTTGCAATCCGTTGATGCTAAACCAAGTTACAGAACTTGAACCATGGGTTGTCTATGACGCCTCAAACCATGCCAGTGAGAGTGTTGAAAATGGTGCATATGTTACATTCACGCTTATTGGGGTATTCAGGGATACAAAGTAGCCTAACACCCGTTCCAGTAACTACTGGCGAATCCAAAAAGGTGGTCTTGGACATTGCAAGGGGCATCCCCCAAAAGATTCTAAAAATGACCCAATCCGTAATTCCAAAAATGATGTGTCCCAGATGACCCCTATGACCTCCCATTGAGCTCTGTGATGACCCCAAGTTGACCTATGTGACCTGACATGTCCCAGATGACCTCTGTGACCTCTAATTGAGCTGTCTGATGACTCCAAACTGACCTCTGTGACCTGACATGTCCCAGATGACCCCATGACCTCCAATAGATGATGGCCACAAGTTGACCTCTGTGACCTGAGGTGTCCCAGATGACCTCCATGCATAGGCGCGGGAGCCGGGGGGCAGTGGGGGCAGCTTGCCCCCCCCCCCCCAACTCTAGGGCCGTGGGGGCGGTGCCCCCACAACTTTGAGACGAAATACCGCACTTTTTTTGCAAATGTTTCTTCTTTTTTGTTTGAAAAGCCAAGGGATGAAAAATAAGTGGCCTAAAACCGGTGAGAAAACTAGATTTGGGGGTACCCTAGGTTGATCTCAATTATGGTGTGCCCCCCAGTCTGAAAGTAGTTCCCGCGCCTATGCCTCCATGACCTCCAATTGAGCTCTCTGACGACTCCAAGCTAACCTCTGTGACCTGATGTGTCCCAGATGACCTCCAATTGAGCTCTGATGACCCCAAGTTGACCTCTGTGACCTGACGTGTCCCATAAGACCTCTGTGACCTCTAAGTGACCTCTCTGATGACCCCAAGCTGACCTCTGTGACCTGACGTGTCCCAGTTGACCCACATGACCTCCAATAGAGCTGTGATGACCCAAAATTGACCTCTGTGATCTGACTTGTCCCAGGTGACCCCCATGACCTCCAATTGAGCTCTTTGATGACCCCAAGTTGACCTCTGTGACCTGACATCCCAGATGACCTCTGTAACCTCCAATTATGACCTCCAACTCTGACACTCTGTGACCTCAAACTCTGAACTCATTTCTTCTAAAGCATCGTTTCTAGTTGCCCTTGTCACGAATCTCCTGTGATCGATCCCAAATTTTATGGCAACTCGCGTGAGCGTTAGCGATCACAAGTCACCCAGTTGAGACAAAGCTTTAGAATCAGAGAACATGCTTGACCTGGCTGTCTCACAAGATCGCAAACCTTACGGGCGAATGTTCCTTTGTGCGTGATAGAGTTTTCGACCTTACCGACGTTTACTACGGGACCAGCTGATCGTGTAGCCTTTTAAATTCTCGAGTAAAGCGGGTATTTAAGCCTTGTCGCAGCTACGTTCTGTCGTATCCTCCGACAATCCGCTCTTTCCTCAACAATCAACATCCCTCCTTTTTCGCTACGACACAACTTGCGACGGGACATATGTCGTAACTTGCGACGTGTCGTAGGTGGATTTGCGACGCCCTGGATCCCTCCGGCGTAAATCAATACACCAAACACACTGACACGAACTCACAGTTCAGCATCAGCCGGATGTGAACAGATCATCTCAAGATTGTAAGATGTAAGAGAAGACTGGAATCCATCAGTGGCCATTGTTTTTTAAACTGTCTCTCACAACCACCCGCAATAAGGATTATCTGTCAGGTTAAAGTTATAATTTGGTATGTATTGTTTGTTGCAGCAATGGCCTTGGTTCGCTCTGCCCTGCGGCTGACCCGCTCGTCGGGTGTCCTGGCCCAATGCTCCCGCTCAATGGCTGACATGCCTCTGACGTTCGCCGCTCCCAGCCAGGTGTTCTATAACCAGCAGGACGTCCGCCAGGTGGACGTGCCCTCATTCAGGTAAGTGGGACATTATCAGAAAGTAACGATGGTTTGTTGGAAATAATACCCAACTTCTTTATCCATGTTTTTATCAAGAGCCCTAAAGGAAATAGTTCGAGCTTCTCCAATCAGGCATTTGTTGTGAATGATGATTGTCTTTTGTACTTATATCATTTTTGTTACAAATTCTTAAACGTCTCGGTTTGCACCCACACCCTAATGAGAAACAACACTAACAATCATATACAAAGGTTTAAAGTTGAAATGATATCAATTAACCCCTAGAATTGCTCATTGTGGTGGCAATAAAATGGATCCAATCAAACTACATAACCAATATTGAGCCGCTCTCTCTAGAACTCTCTGCTGATTGGCGACCAGATACGAGTATACGTTAAAAGTACGCTTATGCATGATAGCCTCATCAGGAACGAGGGTGGGCTAGAACTAATTCCCACGTATCGCGGCTTGACCCCACCGCGTCTAGTTTGATCGCAGTGTACCGCGGTCTAACTGCACCGTATTCGGTATGATTACAGCGGTAACTTTGGCATCCTGCCGAACCACGTGCCGGTGCTGGCCGTGCTGCAGCCGGGCGTCGTCAGCGTGGTCGAGGCCGACGGCAGCACCAACAAGTACTTCGTCAGCAGCGGCTCCGTCACCGTCAACAAGGACTCCACCGTGCAGGTACGCGGCGTGGGGCCCTCTGCCGTCCCTCCTTCAGGTGCTCCAGCTCTCTCAATACCTTCATTCGGCTCTAACTAATGGCACACTCATCTGTCTCCAGCCCTCCTTGCCACTGTGATGAGATGCTAGGACGGGGCCGGAGCCAGATGGACGGGAAACATTTTCATTTTCATCAACATTTTCCCATCAGTGTTTCGCGAATTTTGTAAACGCCCATTCTGACCGTATGGATGAGCCGGTAGAGCATTTGATAGCCTGTCCTCCCGCTGTTTTAGTGCGGTGTTTCAGTCGATCCGATGAGTTTGTGTCTGGCACTGACCGATGGCCCGCTGCGCACAGGTGCTGGCGGAGGAGGCGGTGCCCCTGTCGGACTTGGACGCGGCCGCATGTCGGCAGGCGCTCACCCAGGCGCAGGCGGACCTGGCCAGCGCCACCGGCGACCAGGAGCGCGTCGAGGCCCAGATCGCCGTCGAGGTCAGCGAGGCGCTTGTCAAGGCCTGCGAGTGAACGACATTCTATCTCTGTTTTGGTGTGTTTAGGCCGATGACGGTATGCGAAATATACATTTGTAAATGAGAATGGTGGTAAGATCACTGATACATGGTCAATGAGGCGAAATACTGTATTCCTTAAGTACCGTCGTAAAGAAAATGCATGCTGGGCCGCTAGAACTGTTCTACATGTCAACATCTTTGTGCATTTTCTTAACGCCTTTCAAGTCGGCGCCATTTTTTAATTTCGGATAAAGCACGACTATCACGGATGCAAGTGCACTGTCTAAAGCTTGCAAAGTTTCAGAAAAGTTACGGGAAAGGTTTGACATTACCTAGCACCTGCTCTTTATTTCACAACTTATCACAAGGCAATGATTGATGACAATATGTCGATGAAGTAGACTACATGGGTGAATGAAAATAAAGACCAGAACAGCCTGCACTTGCGATGTTACTGATCGGCCATGTAGGCGTGTGGTCCAAACTATGTAGTAAGGGGAACGACATGACAACCATCACCACACAAATAAGCTGGCAGCACGCGGCTGCGATACGCTCAATACTGGAAGCTGCGCTTGGTCTGAATGTCGTCCAGGATGGCCCGAAGTTCTTCGTCTTCGTAACGTCCCTCCAGGCTGCCGGGGGGAGAGCAGAAAGATGGCGCACATGACACAACAAAACTAAATCCAGGGTGTGGATAAATGTATTTTCATTACTTGCGACGACCAAAATGCAAGTTGATCATGAAAATATTGTTCTGATGCATAAAGTTTCTCATTAAGCCAATTACCAGGGCAACAATCACGTTCAACACTGACAAAGCACAAGTGCCAAAGGTCGGATACTAGACCCTTGGGGGCCAGGGCGACACTAGAACGACAACCACCCGAGGCCGCGAAAAACCGTCATCCTGCAGGCGATCGTGACAAACGCTCCCCTTACAGTGGCGGATCTAGGATTTGAGTTTAGGGGGGGCAAACATTGCGCCGCCAGGCAAGTCGGCGAGAATTTCAAACGTCCAGTCTTAGGAAAAAAAAAAACGAGCTACCCCTATTTTTCTCCTCGGATTTCGGGAATTTTTTTTTTACATTTTTGTCAGTCCGGCCAAGCCAGGGCAGCGCAAAAAAATGCAGCCACCCTGACTCCGGGAGATAGTTAGAGAATAGCTCACCGGCGCTATGGACGGTCCGTCCTCTACCTCCCGCATCACCTCGGCAAGACCTCGTCCGAAAGGTCCGCCCGCGCCGGTTCTCAAGGGCTTCTGTATCCGGAGACCGATAAGGGTCGCAGCAGCAGGTTCATGTGTAAATGCCCACGACCAAAGGCCACATCAGCGTACCTGCGATACTATACGCAGTCAGGGTTGCCACGTAGTTAAACGCAAGAATCTTGGTCTAAACGTATGAACAGTTGTTTCCGGTAATAGAAAATGAGATCAGTCGATTAAGAATCCCAACAAGAAATAGACGAAGAACAGCGCATTTGTTTTCGGTCCTGCATTTATTGATGCAATTACAATGAACATTCCTTAACTTTGGGACTAAACTTTGCGAGCTAGCAAAATTATACAACCAGTATAACGCCTTTTGGGGCGACTAACGGAGCGAGCGAGAGGGTGAGCCTTGCACGTGCGAAATTTCGAGGGGGTACCTCCAGCTGACTTGTGCACGGCACCCTACTAACCGGTCTCTAGCGATGTACCAAATTTGGGCACAATCGGCCCAGCCGTTCTCGAGATCTGGAAGCGGCACCCTGCACGTGCGCACGTGCAAAATGGGTCCCAACTGACTTGTGCACGGCACCCTACTAACCGGTCCCTAGCCATATGCCAAATTTGAGCGCCATCGGTCCAGCCGTTCTCGAGATCTGGAATCGACCCCTGCACGTGCGCACGTGCAGCAGCACCCCAACTCTGGCACATGGATATGCATTGCCTAGTGGGTGCCTACCTACATGCCAACTTCAGCGCAATCGGCCAAGTAGTTACCGAGATATTGCAACAATTACAAAAGTGACACCTCTTCGTTTTGCACGTGGCACGTGCATAAGGGGTCACCCACATGCATCGGGAATAGTCCAATACTTGGTAGAAGGAATGAAGCTACCCTACAAAAATTACCGCGTGTAAATCTGTCAAGTGGTTGCTGAGATATAAGCGTCGCAGAATCGTGACCACGGCCGGCCGGCCGGCCGCTCATACTCAGAAATTTCCGTTAATCTAAGGAAAGACTACGCTCGCTTCGCTCGCTCCGTAATAAGTGCTACTTTCGAGAGGAGATAAACGATGCTTCTACAGACTACATAGGACCACAGCGCAACAGCCAACGGAATCACACTGAACAGCGTTAAGTTCCCACAACATACTGAGCTTCTCCAACACCTCGCAAACCAAAAGCTCTGACCGAGCCTTTCTGTGTTTGTCCCCGTTAGATAACGGTATGGCTCATGAAAAAGCCGCGATTGGTAATCTTCTTTACGTTATTCCTCTCAGAAACCTATCTCGCACTTGTTCTCAAAGGCACGCAGTACACCGTTCTTTCTGGCCATCACTGAGTGACACAGCGGCAGTAGCTCAACCATATCGTTCACTCTAGTTCTTATTATGCAAACACTTCTTATATACCCATGCATTGCAAACCCACCACTGTCCAACCGCTCACCAGTGTGGTGACCCCTGACCCCACTGGCGTCTGGCGGTCTGCTGTTGACGGTTTGTTTACTTGGTTCAAGGTTTCAATAAATCGCGTTATTTTTTATGGTAACAGTAGCAGTAGTAGCACTGCTGATGGATGATGGACTGACATTCATGGGGCGGAGGACTTTTTATCAGCTCACAACTTAATATCACGAATATGACAACCTTCTAGTCCTCCATTTATTTCACATTTTCTTTTCAAACACCATATTTTTAGTATTCAAGTTGTAGTTTTTTTTAGGGGGGGCAAAAAGATATGTTTGCCCAGAGGTTTTCCGTTTAGGGGGGGCAATTGCCCATTTTGCCCCAACGTAGATCCGCCACTGTCCCCTTACACCAGCATGTGTCGCAATCGGCAGCATGTTTATACACATTCTGTAGGTTGAGCGATTCCCGAAATTGGGATACATGGTTGAAGTAAAGAGTTGTGACAGCCAAACTAAAATACTGAAATGCTCGTAGGGGATGTTAAAGGAAGGAAGTAAGACGGTATTAAAAACACGCAGCTGGGTAGTCGCGGCAGGTTGAGGATGAGGAGGAACGTCAGTAGAAGGGCACTACGTAAGACCAGTGTACAATGTACATTTGTCGTAAGTCGTAACTTTCAAACATGCGACTTACCTGGGTATAAGTGTTTTGGCCTCATCAGGGTTGTCTGGGCAAAGACTGGCCAGTGCGGCAAGCTCGTACTTGTGCAGCTTTTTCTGAGCAAGGAGACTGCCGGGCGCAAAGTACCGAAGTCAGACAGATAGAATAGGCCGAATAGAGAGTACGACGGAAAAACGCTAAACGGCGGCCATCGAATGGTGAAAGGGATCAAATGTACATATGAATGAACTACAATAGATAAACAGTTACTGCGCGACCTCCTGCGGGTTAACTGGCATACTAGCAGCACTGAGGAATGTGGAAACAAAAACGAATCACCAATCTTCATCAACAGTACTTACTTTCGGACAGATGCAATCGTTTCTCGGTTCTTGAACTTAGCGAAACGACCGGCATACGCCAGAGTCTTCAGGAAAACCTCCGATAGTTCTTGTTCCTCTTCGGCATTCTCATTCTGAGCCTTGCGGTGCTCCAAAAGCATGTGTACCTCTGATATCATGAGTGTCTCAGCATTGTCAAACTCTGTAAGAAAATGTCAGCAGTCAGGAATTCAGGACAAAGTTAGTACATTAAGTAGGGCCATATGTAGCAGAATTTTTATGCCAAGCATAACATAAATGCTAATACATCACTTTAACTGATCAGATAAAACTGATGTTATTTTATTATTTTAGTTTTTACCACCAAGTTTTTAGGCCATATGGCCTTATAACCTGATGGCTAACCTGATAGTAAGGTGAGATAAGGTTTTACAAATGTTGCATTGCTCTGAATCAATAAAGCATTTTGTTTGCAACAATGTAACTTTGGACTCAAAACATTTAAAAAACAAATGACAAATGCATGAATGGCTTGAATAGCATTGAAAAGATAATTTATAAATTGAAGTGTGCATGAATACTGTATAGTAAAAAAACAGGTAGGTATCAATGATGCAACGTAGTGCAACGCAACTATTTACATTGCAACTTAATGGAATTCGCATACTAACTGTAACATACATATACTCACCTTTTGGGAACTGCAGTTCTGATGCATCCTCTTCTGGTTGCTCTGCAGGAACATGTGCCATGGTTTTGGCTTTGGAGCTAGACTGGGAAAAAACCTGGAAAAATATCAAAGCTGCTTATGTCAAAAAGTGACTGCATAGTGCATTTCGCTTTCCTGTGATAATGATTTGGGTTATGGACGCCTGAATTGCGGCAGTCACTGGCACCCATAACTTTGTTCAATGCGAACAGAGTGTTTCCACTTTCTGTGACATGTTTTATTCCAAATTAAAAAATAAAACACTTGAATGCTTTATAGACTTTTTAGTTGAGTAAAAGTCATTACCTAGCAGGAAGTAAGCAACAAAGTTGAATGTATTCTAGTTAAAATTCAGATTGAGATTTGGGTTTCGAGGTCACTCAACGTTGCTTCTGGATAACAATGAAGAAATAAATCTCAGGGTAATGAACGCAACACATTGGACGTAATACTTCACAAATAGAAGCTTTAACCAAAAAATTGCAACATACCTGCACTCTACATACCTCTATAAAGGGTAATTGGGCTAATTTATAATCTTGTTTATATGTAAATATACGCTATCACACCACGACAGATTCGCCGCTCCGTAACTGTCGGTGGTCTTTTGATTTCGTCGAAATATGGTAGCAACAGCAACCATATGTTAGAGGGAATTTGGTATACGGAACAGGATTATTTGCGTTATATACAGTGAACATTGAACAAGGGACCTGAGTGAGAGCAAGTAATCTTGCATGGGCCTGAGACGATGCTCGTGCTGGAAGTGTGAAATTTTGATTCCGACTCGACCCTTGTACAGGGACCCGCAGTTGCTACTGTACACGAACCCCAAGTCTAACCGTCTGTCCTGTCCAGTAACAAGTGATAACCATATGACATTGATATCGACTGCCCGTCCCTGTACAAGCAGCAGCTGAGGTTTTCTGTGCGTGCCGCCTCTGACAGCTTACCGTTGTTCCCTGTGAGGGTGCTGGGACAATATACTCAGGGTCGCTGTACAGAAGCAACTGCGGGTCCCGGGCCGTCCCCGTACCAAGCCGCTGACTCTCGGAGCCCCAGGGGAGGATTTTTGCCCAGAGGTCGTAGAAATCACGATAAGTTGGCCTCAAGGAGGATCTTTGGTGACCTGTGTTCGATATCAACTCAAGGGTGGTAGGTAAATAGTGCCGGATATAAACATGTGAAACGCCGTCTGCCCGTCTCCAATCAATGCATGGAATCGGTAGTGATGCGTCGGCGAATATTGCCATATGGACGGATGACGTGAGTGGTGGCCAGAGAGTCAACTTATATGCGCGGCCGGGCATCGGGCTGCGCCGTAGATATTATCATTTTCAGGACGAAAATGTCATGATAAAAGTATACAACATGCGTGTTTCATGTAAAAAGTGAGCAGCGCAGCACACCAGCCCAGTCGATGAAATGCGTCACTTTATGCACAAAATGCTTTCGGAACAGATGAAACGCAGGTGACGAATGGACAAAATGTCCTATGAATGCGTTGTTTTGCCGTTAGCTGTGCTATACATCGCAGAAACCGCCGCAAAACTAAATGCGCGAGCTGGCCTATTAGTCACGTCTAATTAAGACGGTACCGGTTCGCCAGCCGCCAGGCCGCGGCTCTGTGCTGGACGGCGCTGAGCTGATAGGTTGGCCGGGGTGGACCGACTGCGAGCTGCTCTCCGAGACGGCCGGCGACCGGTGGAGCAGTGTGGGCGCCCTGGCCTCGGGCGCGGCGCCTCGCCCGGCGGGCGGCGCACACTGAGACGGCGCCAGACAAACGGTCACGGCCGACGGCGCGCGGCGGCCGCTCAGACCCGACGACCCGGCCCACCAACACAGGTGAGTCCCACCACCGCGGGTGTGAATTCGCCATAATACCGTCACTCTGAATAGACTCTGGTAGTTCGGTGGAAAGTCGAGCCGTGCGGGTGTCAATAGACAATTTATGTCAGGTTTTCAGGTTTAGCACCGTCCGGTCCGGTCCATTCGTTCACCGTCTAATATCCCCTATCAAACTTAGGAACAGTCGAGCTGCCGCCGCGGCCTCGCCATTGTGCATAATTACAGCTGCGCACAGTCATTGGCCAGTCATTCATTTCATGTCCCTGTTAGGCGATGCCCGTTTTAAGTCGCGCCGACCCACTTTACTGATTCTTCGTGTGTCTGTATGCTGATGAAATTGGGCAGCTTAGGAACTTGGCTTGCGGTAGTGACCTTTTAACCGTTAATAGTTGAAAATAGTCATTTAGAAGATAGTTAATAGTTAATCGGAAGATAGTTAATTGTTTGCTGTTAGACTTTTTTAGTCAAACGATTTAATGGTAAACTACTCAATGGTTGATAAGTAACGATTTGACTATAACTATTACAGACCAAACGTCTTAACGAAGAAGAAGTGCTGCATTTTACTTATTTATTTGTACATACACACGAGTCCGTTGGTTTCGTTGCAATTTTGAAGAGACGCGACACCAAGAAAAAAGCTTTTTCTCATTATACCAATCTTCGAAACTAAAAAGGACTTATTGTAATGAACGAAACAACCCCAAGTGAGGAAACGAACCGAAGCACCCGTTTAGCGTCCCTTTGAAGAAGGCATAGGCGGCGGAACGGGGAGGGCATGCCGTGGCACCGTGTCCCCCTTTGATTTCGGCATTTTAACATTATGCCCTATGGTCGTTGCATGGAAAGAATGGGACCAAAAGTCGGCAGTGCCCCCCCCCCCCTTAATTGAAGGTGTTCCGCCGCTACTGGAAGAAGGTAGACGGTTCCAGCAGTTTGGTGGAAAGTATTGAAACATAAATAACATTAAAAAGATCCCATAGAGGAGCGTCCTATTATCCTTCAATGAACGGTCCAGTGACATTTAGTTATCGGCTTCCCATGGGAGTCCCATGGGATGGGAGTCCCAAAAAAACTCCCATCCCGTGTTTAGGGCCTTGCTTCCGTTTATCTGATATATACTCCCTCATCTTTTTTACGGTCGTGAGCTGGAATACCTAAATGGTTTGGTTGGTTTGGTTATTATCCCGTTTCGTTTTATGTTATGCAACTAAACATGAAATAAACCAAATTTGTTTTGCAGCGAGTTAACCCTCGCCGGACCTATTGGTTTTCTACATACGCGCCGGCCGAGGGGGGGGGGGGGGGGGCGGGTACGACCCCCCCCCCCTCGCCGTTTCGCCCCTGGTGGAGCTAGCGCGTCGCGGAAAAAACGAGCGTGTGCGCCGTTACGAGACGCAGAGATTGGTACCCGATTTTAAGGTCCTAGGTCAACCGGTGACCTCTGAGGTCAGGTCAAGTGCCCCAGGGTACGGTTCAGTTTTTGGTGAATAACTTCGCAAAAAACGGCCGCAGAGCGCTGATTTTGGCAGCATCGTGTTCGCCTCGCTCAGGCGCGTCGAATGATATACTTTTTGTCCGGGTCAGGTCAACTTGGGGTGTTGACCTCAGGTCAAGGTCAGGTCAGCACCCCCAGGTCACGAAGTTGGTCGAAAGAGGTCATGTCGCATATCATTCGATTCGGCAGGCCTTCCTGAGTCCATTGGTGCCTTTCCCGACTCGCTAGCTCAATTTGATCAAGAGTTATTGACGAAAAACTAATTTGACCTTGATGACGTCATAAATGACGTCACGCAAGGTCAACATTGCAAAAGTGACGCATCTAACCTTGCAAGGAGTGCATCAAATCACGATTCTGCGTGCTTGAGATAGTTGGAGATCGTTCCCGGCGCCAGAATAGCAGTTTGAATTTTTCCCCATTGACTTATAATGGTGAGGTCACGAAAATGACCTGACCTCATATGACCTTTAGGAAAAATCCGAGATATACAAGTTGTGGGACTCATAATGGATATTAGATCCTGCAAGTTTCATTTCCCTGTGACATCTCCTCTGGCAGTGAGGGCGTTGCGAAGTTGCGACATCTGAAGACCGTGCAGAGGTTCACTTATGACGTCATAGGTCAGTGACCTGACCTGACCCAAAAATGCAGTTGGTGTCAAAAGATCCGACTTGGATCAAAGGTCAGGTATGCCAAGTTTCAGCTCTCTATCGCCAGCGTGTTTGGAGCTATCGCGAAAAAACCCTATGGGGGGCGGCACCCGCCCCCCCCCCCTCGGCCGGCGAGGGTTAAAGTTTTTTTTTCAATTCTCGATTATCGATGGTTGTTGATTTTGATATTGATGTTGTTCGCCAAAATCTTAACCACATCAGTATAGGCTATAGCTAATATGTGTGGTTTTATCATATTTTTCATAATTATCCCTCATGCTTCATACATGAGTTATTTATCGTTGCATGCAACTACCAAACGCATCACATTACAAAAGATATGCGAACCTTTTCTACCTCCCTCGAAACTTCTTCCAACCTCTACCCTTCGGAGGGTAGAGTGCAGGGTCAAAGCAACAAGCTTCGCTTAGCGGGGACTCTGTCCTTTTAAATCATTCCATTCAAAAGGTTCGGTCTAAATTTATAAAACAAACATATAAGTGAGGCGTCCACTAATGGCGCATTTTCCTATACGACGTCGCTCTTCATATTATGCGGATTGCGGAGGCCGGTCAAGTAGTGTTGCGAATTATTGCAATGTGCATTGTGCACCATATGTGTTGCCCTATCACACGGGTGCATCGTATAACATCGATTAGCTATTTCTGATATTCAGCCCGTGGTGGAGAGGCCTGGGTTATCTGATTCAGGGGACCACTGGTCAATCGGCTGGGCCAATGTATAGGTGGGAGACTGCGATACTCTGGTAGAACGAGACGGGGATGAAAGGACAGGCCTCAGTGATCACTAATCACGCCGCTACTATTAATATTTATCCCGCACATTAATTCGTTTCCCATTGTGTTCAATAATCCAGTTTAAATGGGTATGTATTTACTCAGATACCAATAAGCGTTTAATGATAATCACATGTGCTCTGCTCTGATTCCATACATTCCGATTTAGATTAGCTCTTTGGTGTAGGTATAAGTTGTTTTTTCCGTTCCCATCAACTCCATTCTACTTCCAGTCACACAGAAAATCTATGGGACATTAGCGCCGCTGCCAGTGACCCTCCCGGCTGCGGGTGACCGGTCGTGCCGGCGTTATCAGCAGTGACGCCGCCCTCCCACGCGCCCCAGTCCCTCTCAGCTCTCCCGCGCGAGCTGACCTTCACGCTCGCACCTGGTCGCCGGCTGACGAGCGGGCCGGTGCTCGGGGCTGTGGCCGGACCGGCGCCTGCCCTCGGGGCCCAGCGGGGATGGTGTTGCGGTCAACTCGCGGCCTCCTGTCGTTTTTCCGGCTCTGCGGTGCCACGGGACACGTTAGACGGCCACAGGTGGCTCCGACACCGAGCCGCCGAGACGCCTCATTAACATCACCGCGGAGATGACATCACCACCAAGACGAGATATACGATAGGTTAATGAGCTCTGTGGCTTATTTTTCAGAGGAGACTTCCGAGCCAGATACTGATCGTTTCGGAGTAATTGTCCCAACCGAAACGAACTAAATACCGAATGCAAAATTAGTTACAGACGCATCTCTCCGAGGATGGGAACAAAGCTAGGACCAGCCCGTCGTAACCCTTGATCAGTCTCCGGTGTTCTGCACTGCCCATCAAGGCACAGACAACCGGTGACGGCAGCTCTAAAAGCCGTATCACATAAGAATAGCATAACACGTGTTCTTAGTAGAAACTAAGAACGGGCGGACAGACGGACGGACGGACGGATAGCACGGACGGACAGACAGACAGGACGGGACGGGACCGGATGGACAGACAGACAGACAGGCGGACATACGGATAGACGTAATTGAAGACTTGCCTGTTCCTGTTTCCTGAAGATCGAAAATATTATGGAACTCAGACCATGTATATGTTTATATCACGATCACACATTCATGTCTTTTTTTCGATTAGCAGAATACTGGATATCACCATGGACGACTACGAATCGCTGAGGCGGCTCAGCGAAGCAGGTGTTGCGCGGCGATTCTCGACAGGTAGCTACTAGCTAAGACGTCATACTATGATTTAGCCAAAGCAAAAATATGACCACAACCTTGGCTCTACATAAACCGTATCGCATGCATTGATATATTTTGTAATTTGCGTCCATTCAAAACTTAACTAGCTTAACTAAAGTTACAATGATTTTTTTATTTTGCCGTGCTCTGTCCTTGCTAAAGCGGATTTATGACGACCGCCGACCTGTCCCACAGACACTGTGTTGACACGGGACACGGACAGCTTCATGGTGGGCGAGCTGGTGTTTGTCGGCGGAACGCTGCCCGGCAAGATCGCCTACATTGGCGAGACAAAGTTTGGTGGCGGCGACTGGGCCGGTGTCGTGCTCGAGAAACCCTTCGGTAAGTCCGCCGGACCACTGCACTGAGCAGCAGCCGGCTAATGTGTTTACACATGCATGAACGGTGAAACACAGTGCGCAGAAGCTCCGGGTTATTCCATGTCCTATGATAAATGGATTAACTACACCGCCCGATAGTTTTGTGCCATGAGGTAAAGAAACGGCATCGTAAAGTGAAGGAGTGCCATTACGTTGATAATCATCGTATACCTATCTGTCAACGTTTTCACCCAAGTCGAGTCTGTTGTTCACAGATAAGGTAATTGAATGGAAGCGTATTCGGGAAAGTATTATTTTTTATTTTTTTAGAAAGCGAATCGATTGCCCTCGCATTGGCAGACCCGCTGATGCTACGTGACAAAGGAAGTTATAAGACCATATTGGTTTCCGGTGAACCGCTGGTAAATATGCCGTTCATCGGCAAATCTTTAGATCGTAAATGTTTAATCGTTTTCTGTAAATCCTTCAGGGTAACGTTTAAATAAATATGAATAAACTGTTAATCATTAACCGTTTATTCATCAATATTTAATCCGTGAATAAATTAAATCCCTTTGGACTTTCCGTTACATCGTGAAATAGTTTTTCGTTGATTGTTCAAATCGGGAACATTTGTTGTTAATCGTAAATCGACACATGAATGATTAAATCCGTTATTGTTAAATATTTAATCGTTTATTCCTTTGTTCTTCAACCGTATTTCTTGTAACCTTAAAATCGAGAATCGTTAAAACAATAAGGCCTTTAGTCAACCTGTTAACTTGTTGGTAACTGAGGGGTGTGGAACGTTTAACATTTAATTGTTAATAATGAAATCGTTAAATTGTTAATAATTAAATCGTTAAATTGCCAAGTCGTTCAACTTTCCGTAGTTCAATCATGATGGCTTAAATAGATGATTCATCTTAAAATGTTAATCTTTACCTATATCATAAATCGTTATCGTTTATCATGCCTTCTTCAATCGTTTAATCGATCTAGCGTTAGTTTTCAATACCCTGGTTAATCGCTATCCGTAACATCGGTAGCCATTAAATCGTATTCTTGCTGATAGTTACATCGGTAATCGCAACACCGCTGGTCGTCACATCATTAACCGTTAAAAAGGTAATTGCATGGTAGTTGGCTGCTATTGGCATATTGTTACTTAATGATAAAATTGTGTACCTACCTTTAAAAAGATATAAAATAGGTACCTACATACATCTAAATTAAACTTAGCCAAATCAACGACATGAATAGCCTGTATAACAGTACGAAGTCTTGCGGTCGCTACCCGCTACCGGACTCTCTTTTACCGCCTGACGTAAAAAAAAAAAAAAAACTGAACCATTGCCCCCTGAGTCGGAATCTGTTTCTCGGACCATTTCTCCGTCCTCTGTCGCCAGGAAAACACGACGGCACCGTGGGTGGTCACCAGTACTTCCAGTGCGAGCCGCGGCACGGCGTGTTCTCGCGGCTGACCCGTCTCAGCCGGGAGCCGCTGGGCTCGCCGCCGCCCGAGTGGCACGCCTCCTCCACCTCCGCCGGCGGCGGGTCCCCCTCCCGGCGCAGCTCACAGGCCTCGGCAGACGGCGGCGCCGACTCACGGCCCGGCTCGCGGCGCACCTCTCGCTCCAGCCCGGTGGCCACCCTGCCCACCGGCGCGCGCCGCAGCTCCAGCCCGGCCAAGGCGCCGCCGTCTCCGGCGCGGCGCAGCTCCAGCCCCAGCTTCACAGGTGAATAAAAAGGGCAAAGGCTAATACAAATATAGGCAACTGCGGAATAAGTTCAGTGTACACTTTTAAGTTCAGGCAGATGCTGAATAACTAGTAGGCATTTGATGCATTAGTCATATGATGAGTCGATGACCGACGATTATGGCTCATGCAGACTGTAGACTAGCATGCTATCGTCGCTCTGTTTCTGCGTGCAGTGCCGACGGCGGCGCGGTGCGGGGACCGGGTCTCTGTGAGCAGCAGCGTCATCGGCCGTCGGCTCGGCACCGTCCGCTACGTCGGCCACGCCGAGTTCGCCGACGGCGTCTGGGTCGGCATCCAGCTGGACGAGCCGCGCGGCAGGAACGACGGCAGCGTCGCCGGCAAGAGGTGGGCACCGGCCTATTCAATATACCCTGGGTACCGGCACCGGACCGTAACAGTTGAGGGCTCCTAAAGGCGAGCTATTGGGGAAAACTCAAAACATTTTGGTTACGGCGTCAATTTCTTTAAAATACCTGCTAGACTGAACAAAACGATCCGGATAAACGGAAAACAAACCGTTTATTTTAATTCCGAAAAATAATGAAGGTATACATATTTAATTTCGGTTGTTGTGCGTCTTATATCTGCACTTTCTGCAGAAGTCATCGGAAATGCCGTTATATGGTGATAGAATGTTGCCCCCTTTCTGCACGCTGTTAGTTACTTGCGTTGCGTGTGTGCCCTTATGCGGCTCTGGCAGCTGCAGGTCAAATATTTAATGCTTCTCGTTCTCCAGGTACTTTGAATGTGAGCCAGACTACGGGCTGTTCGCGCCGCTGAACAGGGTGACGGTCGTGCAGCGGCGCATCTCGGCGAGTCGCGACCACGTCGGTGCCGACGTGGATGGCTTCTACTGAGCTCGACTACCTCGGCTGGCGTCTGCTGGAGCCGCTGCCGCCGCGTCAGTGCCCTCCGAAGATGGACGTCCTCAGATAGATGTCTGGTCAACTCAAGCGATCCTTGTCACGAAGAGATGACAAGTGCGACTTTTCGAGTGGCGATGACTGCGGTTGTCTGTCCGATGGTCTGGACTTGATGCAGGCCACAGACATAACAAATGCCAGGGCGCAGTGTCCTGCACATGTTAGAGAAGGGGTAAATCGCCTATAGTCATCCTAACCTGAGGTCAAGTTTTCTCTAATGTTTTAAAGATCGGCGATGCGTATCGCCGCAATCATCACCTATTACGCAGCCAAATAAAACGTACCACGCTGTATATTGTGCAGTATTTATAACAGTATTACACAGATTGTGAAAATATGGATTACCTATCTAATGGCTATCTGCTCCATGATGTCCAAGGTCAGGATAACTGCTCATGATATTTCAATGACCTTGCCCATAAAAAAATACAATTGCGCATTCGATACGGTGCCTCTGACATGTTGTTTTTAAACGGTCAGCGGATGTTTCTGAATGATAAATGGGTGACTCGTCCTTGTATTCCTATAATCGGCACTGATGTTAGATATAGGTAGGTTCGCTCTGACTTCTGAGGCACAGTCGGCAACCACAGGGACGCGGTCACAAAACTTCGGCAACCATATTGCGACTTTATGTAGGCACCCATTTGATGCTATGTACGATACGTAAATACGTGAAGTGTATGCTGATTCGGCACATATTCTTCACACACGGCAGATGCCTTTAAGTGGCCATGAACTTACCTAAGGAACTTATAGGCACCCCATGCAATAAAATATGCCTAAATGTTATTCCGAGTCCCATTTTCACATGGCCTGTCCGTGTTACTGACAGAGAGCTTAGTTGCCGGGCCGCGAGTTAACCCGCGCGGGGCTGGGGTCTCCAGCCGAACGCGCGGGGCTGGGGGGGGGGTAAATTTTACCCCCCTGTTATCTCCCGAACTAATGGTCCGATTTGGAAAATTCAAACGCCAATCGAAAGATCTCATCACGAACAACTAAAAACATGTACTTAATTTTAAGTTTGAGGTCAAGGTCAAGGTCAGGTCAAGGGTACAAATTGCAAGTTCCTACAGTATCGGCCTTGCACCGTAGTTGCCGAAGAATGGAGTCATGGACTGAGACTGATCGCCCAAAACGTATTCTTAGGCTACCAAGACAATATTCGTTGCATACAATATCATTCAGAGGTCAAGGTCAGGTCAGGTCAGGTCAGGTCACCAAAACCAAAATATAGAAAAGGGCATGTGCGACACATGTTTTATGGGTCATTTTACTCATAGAATTCAATAGGCACACTCAATAAGTGATATGGACCACCTCTGGATGAATTTCAGGTCGAGGTCAGGTCAAGGTCAGGTCAAGTGAGGTCAAATTTTGAAGTTGGTTGTTAAGGCCTAAAAAGGTGTCTCTCTGATGCAGTTTTTCACGGCGAATCAAATGGTGCTATTTTTGTTTCCGTACGAGGTCTAGAACTTCCAAAAAAGTCATTTTTCAAAATTTTTGTGTGTCGTGACGTCATACAATTTTGAATAACTCCCACATTTTTGAACCGATTCTTCTAAAACTTGGTATGTAGGTGCACATAGACCACTTCTCTGACATATATTCCGTTTTTTTCGATACACTCAAAATTTTGGATTTTATAGCTATTTTCCCAAAAAAGTCAGTTTTTTGAAAAAAGTTGGGCCAAAATCCAAAATTTTCAAAAAACCGAGATAGCCATTTGATAGACAAAGTAGAATTACGTATATCCTTTTTTTGTCACGTCTTGATTCCTTTAAAAATGAAGATGTTAGGGGCGTTTGAACTTTTGCCGTTTTTGAGGCGAAAATGGCGAACATGACGTCACTAAAACGTCAATTTCTCAAAAAATTTCCGACGGATTTCGCTCAAATTTTCAGGGAACGTGTCAAATTGATGTAAGAAAAGGTACTGAAAGTTTGGCGGCGCTGCGTGCCGCCGTTTTTGAGATATTGCAAAAATTCGTGAGGGGGGGGGGTAAAATTTACCCCCCCCCCAGCCCCGAGCGGGTTAAGCGTCAAGCAAGATGAAGAAACGGTAAACAACATTTCAAAATACCGCCTTTTTTTCTCGGGGTAAAGGAAAATTGACCTACCAAAGGATGTCCATCAAGTTAGCGTCGTATTCGTATTCGTTTTCAGCGTCGAGTTCCAAACATCGCCAAACTATGCCAAACGATAGATCTTGACACGCTGATTCCAAAAATATCACTCATTTTTTCCTAGGTCAAATATTTTGACCTCTAGGGGCAAAAAACCACTCTGGCTATAAACAACCATAAGGTACTTCTTTATTTACCGTCCGATCGGGCTGAAACTTACACAAAACATGTGCCGCCACACAAGGATGCGTCACAATCAACAAAATCGCCGATCGAGGTCAAAGGTCAAGGTCATATTTGCGAAAAACCGTTATTTTTCGACGGGGTACCAAATAAAAACTTTATTTACCGTCCGATCGGGCTGAAACTAACACAAAACATGTGCCGCCACACAAGGATGCGTCACAATCAACAAAATCGCCGATCGAGGTCAAAGGTCAAGGTCATATTTGCGAAAAACCGTTATTTTTCGACGGGGTACCAAATAAAAACTTTATTTACCGTCCGATCGGGCTGAAACTTACACAAAACATGTGCCGCCACACAAGGATGCGTCACAATCAACAAAATCGCCGATTGAGGTCAAAGGTCAAGGTCATATTTGCGAAAAACCGTTATTTTTCGACGGGGTACCAAATAAAAACTTTATTTACCGTCTGATCGGGCTGAAACTTACACAAAACATGTGCCGCCACACAAGGATGCGTCACAATTAACAAAATTGCCGATCGAGGTCAAAGGTCAAGGTCATATTTGCGAAAAACCGTTATTTTTCGACGGGGTACCAAATAAAAACTTTATTTACCGTCCGATCGGGCTGAAACTTACACAAAACATGTGCCGCCACACAAGGATGCGTCACAATCAACAAAATCGCCAATCAAGGTCAAAGGTCAAGGTCATTTTTGCGAAAAACCGTTATTTTTTAACGGGGTACCAAATAAAAACTTTATTTACCGTCCGATCGGGCTGAAACTTACACAAAACATGTGCCGCCACACAGGGATGCGTCACAATCAACAAAATCGCCGATCGAGGTCAAAGGTCAAGGTCATATTTGCGAAAAACCGTTATTTTTCGACGGGGTACCAAATAAAAACTTTATTTACCGTCCGATCGGGCTGAAACTTACACAAAACATGTGCCGCCACACAAGGATGCGTCACAATCAACAAAATCGCCAATCAAGGTCAAAGGTCAAGGTCATTTTTGCGAAAAACCGTTATTTTTTAACGGGGTACCAAATAAAAACTTTATTTACCGTCCGATCGGGCTGAAACTTACACAAAACATGTGCCGCCACACAGGGATGCGTCACAATCAACAAAATCGCCGATCGAGGTCAAAGGTCAAGGTCATATTTGCGAAAAACCGTTATTTTTCGACGGAGTACCAAATATGACCTTGACCTTTGACCTCGATTGGCGATTTTGCTGATTGTGACGCATCCTTGTGTGGCGGCACATGTTTTGTGTAAGTTTCAGCCCGATCGGACGGTAAATAAAGTTTTTATTTGGTACCCCGTCGAAAAATAACGGTTTTTCGCAAATATGACCTTGACCTTTGACCTCGATCGGCGATTTTGTTGATTGTGACGCATCCTTGTGTGGCGGCACATGTTTTGTGTAAGTTTCAGCCCGATCGGACGATAAATAAAGTTTTTATTTGGTACCCCGTCGAAAAATAACGGTTTTTCGCAAATATGACCTTAACCTTTGACCTCGATCGGCGATTTTGTTGATTGTGACGCATCCTTGTGTGGCGGCACATGTTTTGTGTAAGTTTCAGCCCGATCGGACGGTAAATAAAGTTTTTATTTGGTACCCCGTCGAAAAATAACGGTTTTTTGCAAATATTACCTTGACCTTTGACCTCGATCGGCGATTTTGTTGATTGTGACGCATCCTTGTGTGGCGGCACATGTTTTGTGTAAGTTTCAGCCCGATCGGACGGTAAATAAAGTTTTTATTTGGTACCCCGTCGAAAAATAACGGTTTTTCGCAAATATGACCTTGACCTTTGACCTCGATCGGCGATTTTGTTGATTGTGACGCATCCTTGTGTGGCGGCACATGTTTTGTGTAAGTTTCAGCCCGATCGGACGGTAAATAAAGTTTTTATTTGGTACCCCGTCGAAAAATAACGGTTTTTCGCAAATATGACCTTGACCTTTCACCTCGATCGGCGATTTTGTTGATTGTGACGCATTCTTGTGTGGCGGCACATGTTTTGTGTAAGTTTCAGCCCGATCGGACGGTAAATAAAGTTTTTATTTGGTACCCCGTCGAAAAATAACGGTTTTTCGCAAATATGACCTTGACCTTTGACCTCGATCGGCGATTTTGTTGATTGTGACGCATCCTTGTGTGGCGGCACATGTTTTGTGTAAGTTTCAGCCCGATCGGACGGTAAATAAAGTTTTTATTTGGTACCCCGTCGAAAAATAACGGTTTTTCGCAAATATATCCTTGACCTTTGACCTCGATCGGCGATTTTGTTGCTTGTGACGCATCCTTGTGTGGCGGCACATGTTTTGTGTAAGTTTCAGCCCGATCGGACGGTAAATAAAGTTTTTATTTGGTACCCCGTCGAAAAATAACGGTTTTTCGCAAATATGACCTTGACCTTTGACCTCGATCGGCGATTTTGTTGATTGTGACGCATCCTTGTGTAGCGGCACATGTTTTGTGTAAGTTTCAGCCCGATCGGACGGTAAATAAAGTTTTTATTTGGTACCCCGTCGAAAAATAATGGTTTTTCGCAAATATGACCTTGACCTTTGACCTCGATCGGCGATTTTGTTGATTGTGACGCATCCTTGTGTGGCGGCACATGTTTTGTGTAAGTTTCAGCCCGATCGGACGGTAAATAAAGTTTTTATTTGGTACCCCGTCGAAAAATAACGGTTTTTCGCAAATATGACCTTGACCTTTGACCTCGATCGGCGATTTTGTTGATTGTGACGCATCCTTGTGTGGCGGCACATGTTTTGTGTAAGTTTCAGCCCGATCGGACGGTAAATAAAGTTTTTATTTGGTACCCCGTCGAAAAATAACGGTTTTTCGCAAATATGACCTTGACCTTTGACCTCGATCGGCGATTTTGTTGATTGTGACGCATCCTTGTGTGGCGGCACATGTTTTGTGTAAGTTTCAGCCCGATCGGACGGTAAATAAAGTTTTTATTTGGTACCCCGTCGAAAAATAACGGTTTTTCGCAAATATGACCTTGACCTTTGACCTCGATCGGCGATTTTGTTGATTGTGACGCATCCTTGTGTGGCGGCACATGTTTTGTGTAAGTTGCAGCCCGATCGGACGGTAAATAAAG